CAACTATTCAAAATTTTTTGAGAAAATATTGAGAACTTGAGAAACTATTTTTTAAGAAACTATTTGTTGGTAAACTATTGAGAAACTCTTGAATTAGTCGAGAAACCATTGTAAAGCGGATGAGAAACTATTGAGAATTTGTTGAGAAATGATACAGAAATTGTAAAGAAACTTGTTGTTGAGAAACGATTGAAAAAGTGTTGATAAACTTTTGAAAACAGTTGAGAAACGATTGAGAAATTGTTAGGAAACTATTGAGCATTTGCTGAGAAACAATTGAGAAATTGTTGAGATGCTATTGTAAGTTAACTAAGTAATATTTCAAAATATTTCTTGGGAAGCTATTGATGAATTATGTAAAACATAATCAGAAATTGTTGAATTTCTGTTCCTTAAAAGTCGACTATGAACAAGTAGCAAAGAGAAGAATAACGTATGTATTAAATTCAGCTTTTTCTTGATAATTGCTGCCAGTTGTTACTGTTGTTTTTTTATTCTTTCTCCTAGCAGCGCTTACAGAAATATTTTTTTATTTGATTACTAGTTGAAGCCGGTTAATTAAAATGAATTGATATCATTAGCTTTCGTTAATGAAAGCAAATTGTTCGTGTAAAATGATAAAGCAGCAAAAAAAAATATTGATAAAGAGAAAGAGCTCTTAGAGAGTCGAAATAAGTGCAAGCAATAAATAATAAAAATTAATAGAGAACATAAAATATTAAAATTAATTATTGGTTAAGGAGTATTTATTGTTTTCTTTTTAATTTTTCTTTGTAATTTTAAGTTTATAAATTAATTTTTAATTTCAATTAAATACTTAATTGTATTTCTTTATTTTTATTTCTATATATATATATTTTTTTTTTTTTTGGATTTTCGTTTATATTTTTTTTAATTATTTCAATATCTTAGTTATTATTTTTAATTTTTTGTTTTTCATTATTGTGTTTTTTTTTATTATTTTCATTTATCGTTAAAAAGAAGAGCCACTAAAATCACAGATATTTTATAAATGGATTTTTACTTATATTTTTTTTAAGTATTTTATTTAAGGTTTTCAAAATTTAATTTACATTTTTTAGTTGTTTTTGTTTAAATTTTTATATTTTATTTTGATTTGATTTTACATATAAAATATATATATTTGTGTATTTAAAATTTTGTTTCTTTTTATTTTATTATTATTTTGTAAAACTTTGCATTTTTTTGTTTTATTTTTAACTAGTTTTATTCAATATTTTATATTTGTTTTTTTTTTTTATATTAATTTTGTTTTAATAATTTCAGTTATAAATTTTTTTAATTATATTTCTTTAATTATAATTTGTTTAAAATTTTTTATAGGCCAATAAATCATGTTTCACTAAAATCATCCACATTAGCCTTGCTGTGCAACCGCTACAAGTTTACATAATGAGACACTCGTGCGTTCTTATTTTTGTCTTATTATTAATATTTGCCCATTGCTTACTCCACGCTGTCTGCCTGTCTGCGCTGGCACATTCCTTTTGTTGTTTACCCACGCTGTTGCTGCTTATTAGCCTAGCCTTTCATATCTTATTTATGTGACCCCAATTATGGAACAGGGACAACGTACTCGCATTTACCTTGCGGCCTACAAAGACTATAACAGATACACCCCCCATTTATCACACACTGATACATATAGAAAATTTCATACAGAATTGTGTGCCTGCGTGCGGTGCGGCATTACTTATTCGCTGCCCTCTTGTCTACACACATCGTTATTCGTTGATTTTGTGAGTGGGCAACGCCATGCATTGCAAATTAAGTTTCCGTGCAAAAATACAACTAATTTTTTTGTATGTTTTTTCTACTTTTTTTTTTTTGCTGTTTACTTTCCATTTTTTTACATTGTTTGCTTTTCTTGTCATCATTGTCAAATATTTGCAAGTTGTTGCACGCCTTCAGCACGAAAAAATAAAAAGATTAAATAAATAAACCGAAATTTATGAAAAATTACAAACTTTAATAAAATAATTTATTTTCTCTCAAAAAGTAAATAAATGAAAAGCGAAAATGCATCCATAAATTATTTGTGTATTGCTTTTGTACAATGTTTAAATATTAGTTAGCAGTTGTTTAGACAGCTTCATTTTCTCACGAACTGCAAGGTTCCTTTCTGTATACGGTTACTTTGTGTGCTTAACAAAATATTTGATTTATGACCGCTGCAGGTGACGTTATAAATGGCAAAAAAAAAATTAATTAAATAAAAATTGAAGAAAGGTGTAAGGGAAATCATATTTAATATCGTGGCTAAAGAAATATCATTAAAGTCTGCTTTCCCGATTTCACTGGTTGTTTAGAATTGAAATTATTTTTTGTATATTTATTATTTTAGTGAATTAATTCACTCAAAAATCATTAAAAAAAATAATAAAAAAAACTATTCCTCTATCTAAAAACTAAATGTATGCTTCACAAACTAAGATTATAACAAATAAAATACGTAAAACATTGCCTACATTCAGGCGATTTTAGCGAAGGTGCACTCCTTTACTTATTATCAATACCTCACGCATACATAAAAAATACTTTTTATAAAATGTCAAGTAGTAAATTTTTTTTCTAAAATGGTGAAGACAGTTTTAAAAATTATTCTTTTGTTGTATAAAATTTTTTTTTTGTTAATTACTGTCTCATTAGCATTCTTACCGCACCTATTTGCTTAGAAACATTTCACCACTTAGCAAATGCGCTTTTTTGTGTTTGTAGGTACCTATTTGCTGAAATTCCATGATGTTCTTACTATCACTTGCTGCCTCTTTTTGTCTTTCTCTCTACATCTCCCGTTTGTGCTTTTATCAGCAATGTTGACAAGTCGCACGGCATTAGCAAGGACGCCCCAGTTATGATGACTTGTTGTCTATTGTTTATTTTAGCCGTCTAATCATCAGTTAGCGTTTACACATATATACATATGTATATGTGCACTAAATTGGCGCTGACGAATTTGTTGTCAGTCTTTTTGGCGTTTGCATTTACATACTTACATCGCCTTATATTGTACTAAGGTGTCATCATTGATCGATAAGCCAACAAACTGATTGTCTCTGTATATTTGTACGACGTTCAACAAATAAAGCAAACACATATATAGTGGTAGGATTATAAGTTCTTTGCCTTTTTCTTTATGTATTTTATTTATTTAGAATACACTACAAAAGGTTATGTTTTTCCCTTCACTAGCAACGAAATTACGCGACAATGAGTCAGCAACAGCCAAAATAGCCAAGACTTAAATGTCAGGAGAAGAATTTTCTTGGTATATGCGCACTTACTTATTTAACTTTTGGAGACTTCTTGTCTAAGTTACGCATGAATGCTTTCAAAATAATTGCGCTTGTGGCATGCCACAGAAAATATTTATTCATATTGTTTTTATTTTTTTTTTGCGCAAAAAAAAGTTTTGTCATGCGATTTATGATTGACGTGATATGATTCATTTTGATGTGAATTACGATATGATCGCCTTTCTCTGTATCAAGGCGATATATATGTCATACGAAGGTGTGGTATGATATGACTTGATGGAATATCACGTTATTTTTTTTAATGGTGTTGGAGTGAGTTCACATAATGCAATTCATTGTTTGTTCATATAGATTACTGCATTTCATTTCATCACATTTTTCCCGTATTTTGATAATATGACATTAAGATGTGATGTGATGTCTTTTGATTCAGCATCACTCGCTATGATTTAATGATGTTTTGTTGTTTTAATTAATGCGCATTTTGATTTGGCGTATTAAAGTTTCAAGTATTTTATTTTATTTTTGTGCGCTGGCATGATGTCATATGAAGATGTGATGTGATATGATTTGATTCAATAACCTTTTATGTGATGTGATTTAAATATTTTTTTGGTTGATATATATTAAATAAATGTGGTCGTTAAACTTATATTTTTTTAAACACTTTTTCCCCCTTTTCTGTATTGAGCTGATATGTTATAATGATGTAATGTAATATAATATGTTGCGTTGGATGTGTTGTGTTTTAATGATGTTAATGTGGTCTCAATATGTGATGTGATATGATTTAATGCGAGGTCACAAGAAGTGATTCATTTTTGTTGATATGAATTCAAGTAACAATTTACGCTTTGATGTGCTCTGAAAATACGAGTATATATGTATAGCGCATACATTTTATCTCTTTCACTTATATCGAGATAATATCACACAAAGATGTCATGTAATGAGATTTAATACGATATCATGTGATGTCGCTTTATGATATATGTGATATTTTTGGGGCGTATTTTTAAAATCTCATGAGTTACAAAACATTTTATTCAAAAATTTTCTATGCTGTTATCTTAAAAACATATGATGTGATGCTACGTAACGTGTGATGAGGTAACATACCGCAATTCAGTGTTAGAAACAAGAGGAAATAATTTTATGTATGCTTTTGACTGATGCTTAATACTCTTATGTTATGCACAATTTTTTTTCGAAGATTTTATTTTTTCATTATATTTTTTGCAATGAGGATGTGATGTTTCATCATTCGCATTTATCATGCCATGTGATATAACTCTGTAATATTACCTATTTGATGTGTTTATAACTTTTTCTTCGCATATCTTTCAAAATATGTAGTATATTACCTAACATAATTATTTTTCTGCACTCACTACGAAATGTCTACTTTATCATCTAAGCATGACATGATTTGGTATCACGTGATGTAGATCTTGCAGATTTGTTTAACATTTTTTCCGGGATTGTTTCGTTCAGAAACCTTAAAAAAATATTTATTTTAATTATTTAAGGCAATATGACGATATCTTTTTTTAGCTAGCAAAACTTCATTCAATGATGCGACGTCGCAGTGACAAGACACTACTAATAACTGAATTTAATATTTTAAAATTTATATTAATTTTATATATCAAATTATTTATATATATATTATATATATATTTTAATATTTTAATTTATTATTTATTTTGTTTTTTTTTTCAGATACATTTGCTAATTTCCTCAAGATGCCAGTCGCAGTATCAGCCATCTGCTCCACGTGTCGACGTCTAAGGACAACCTGCGAATAGTTGGTTATGTATTAAAACAAAAATGACTTCTAAATGACTGCCACCCTTAATTGCAACTGGAACTGATTGATATTTAAAGCAAAGCAAGAGCTGTGAGCAGCCAAGTGAAAATGGATTTATAAACTTGTCGAACAGTAAAACATTCAAAATCTCATATCCTCCTAACATAAATTTAGACTATCCAACGAAAAACTCTTTTGATACTGCATATCTATGTACGACTAAATCACCGGTGTCTCCCTCAACAGACTTGCAATACTCATTTCACTACACACATACATACTCAACGCACGCACAATGAATTCCGTAATATCCGCGTTTAAAACGAAAAAGAACACCGGCAACAGTGCTGCAGCCAGTGACAAAACCGCCACCAGCAGTAACACGCTGAGCGTAGCCAATGTAGTAAGCGCGAAAAAGAAGGCTGCCGCCATCAGTGCACAGGACAATGGTTATCAGTACCTGCGACATATACGCGAAATTGAATCTGCAACCAAGATGCTGTCGCCTGTGGTTGTAGTTGACGACTTCCGACCGCCTTGTGTCGATGTGGTCGATCATGCACCCGCCACGGTACGTCTGTTGGATACAACACTACCTGCCTCCGACTATAATATGAATGGTGGCGCCAAGTGCGCGACGTTGAATGGTGGCGGAGTGGTTAGAATGTGCACAACAACTACATCGACCGTAGCAAATCTCGAAAATGGCAATTGCAATGAGGCCAACAGCACCAGCAACATACCCGCCAGCAAGACTGCGTTAACAAATGGGCAGACATTTAGTCCACCAACGCCTGGTAGTCCGCTACTCGATGGCGACGATGATGAGTCAGAACATTCAAATGCAGCATGCACGAGCAGCTCCAGTGAGCATAGTAATAGCACAGTGGTGCATAGTCCAACGAGTGTGACGCGTGCGGGGACGGGCACGACAGTTGTAGCGCACACACAGCAGCAGCAGCCCAGTCCTGCGAAAAGTCTGCGCAGTAATTCCTCAACGTCATCATCCTCCTCCTCCACCTCCGCCACATCGTCCGCTTCAAGCACATCAGCAACTTCATCGATTGCCACCGCCGCTATCTGCAATTCAGGACTAAGTTCGTGCAGCTCATCTACCAGCTGTGACGTGACTACGTTAGCCAATAATACCGCCTCGCCACATAATTCCACGCTAACATTATCATCCACGACCAGCAATGGCACAGGTTGCAGTGGTGACGCGGCTGATGTTGCCGTCGCTCCTCACTCGCCCACAGATCAGTTGATCAACAACTCGAGCGCCACGGATGAGGATTATGTGCCTGCCTTTCTCAAGTCAGCGCCCGTCACATTGCCTATCATAATGCCGAATGGCAACAGCAGCTTGGCATCGATGCCACCACACTTTCAGGGTTACGGCATGAATGGCGGCTGTGTGGGCGTGGGTGTGGGTATGTGCGGTGGTACGCCCGTAAACTCAGCGTCGACTACACCGAAGCATGTGCGTTATCCCAAACCACGTCTCAGTTTGAGTCGCTTCATCAATCATTCAATGCCGTCGGTGCATGGCAGACCGAATCTGAGCGTGGCAGGCGGCGCGGCGACAGCGATTGCGGCAGCAGGCGGTGCAGCGGGCACAAATCCGCCTAAGCGCATTTCGACGCATCAGCGGAATTTGAGCTTGGATTTTAGGTGAGTGAGCGAAAAAGTTTTACCCTCCCTTCCACCATTCCAGCACATTTAAATTCCTCACGTCTTCTGAAAGAAGACGATTCGTCTTCTTCCTATCATATTTAATGCAATTTATTGAACGTGCACGGCGACATCTACAGCAATCAACAGAAGCGAAGTTTTTAAATTTAATTTAATGTAGGGAATTGTGATTTTTCATGGAATGTCGCTGTCATTCGCTGTTCACCCGCCGCTCTGATTGGTTTAAATAATAAAATAAATTATTGAAGATAAAAAAATATATATCTTCATACATATACATATATTTGCTGACGTGCCTCGCCTTGTCAGGCCATCAATAACAGTTTTGCTAAGCTCAAAATCATATTTCAATTGCAACTCACTGAATTCATACATAAATACATACAGATTATGCAATTTTATGCTAAAGACGTCATCAGTCAGTGTCTGTTGCCTACAGACCACAAATATTTTTTTTTCAATTTGCCGTCTCTTCCTTTGATTTCTATTTGGAAATTGATTTGCAACGGAAGGTTACGACTTTGCAATTAAAACCACAAAAATGCTGAGATTTTATTTCTGTTGCGGCTCGTAGCAGTGGCATTTAAAAACTGGAAGTGGCAGTTTTACGGTCTTAAATAGTTTTGGTAGAGACGACATGAAATTACAGACTTCCTTCCACATTTGCAATTTAGTATTTTGCGGTTTTGTCTTGATTACGTAATACATACTTGAGCAATGGTATTTTCATACAAATATTGTAGTAGTTTGGAACGCTGGCAATTCAAGCCAACATTGTTGAGTTAGCCGAATGGGGATCGAGTCTGAAGCGAAGTGAACACCTTGTCAGATGGTCTAGCAAAGATCTTTGAAGAGCAAATTGCGAACTAGAAGGGAACCAGTTGTCTAATATTTCCTTCAGGGCTCAACTCTCTCTCTCCCTCTTGTTCGAGATAAAACACTTCGAACTTATTATGGTTAGTCCCACAGCGTTGTAAGCAAACACTTAGTGGTCTGTAGTGTGATGTTTCTCCAACAAATGGAGGTACCAGAAATATGCTCCGGTGGACTGACATTCACTGTCGAGGGGCGAACGCAATAAGAAAAATTTTGGATGTATTGTCGAACCTGGCCTTCGGAAATGCTGAAAATGACAGTGAGCAATGCTAACCACGCGGCTATTGCGGCCGCAAATAGATCAGTAAATACGTAAACATAATTCCAAGCTGAAATTTCATGACCCAAACGAGTTCTCATAACCGTCATCGACCAATTTGCACTCAGCAAACTGCAAGATCTCCGAGCTAGCAAGATCTATAACTATGCGTCCATCAGCACTTACTCCCTTACGGTAAATTACAGCCCATTATTGTGGAGGTCTTCCCCCTTACTCTGCTTTGGTTTTGATTCCTTGAGAGAAGAATTTACTTTTCAATTGCCTACTCAGTCCAAAGTAGAAACCCGTTCCGCACAGTGTCCTGGGAGTTAAGCTGTAAATAAGCCGACTGTTTGTTTGATCGCAGAAGGCATTTCATTCGTCTGAAATTAAATAAAATAATGGTATATAAAAAGTCAGAAAAAGCAGGTGCTCAATATAAATTTACGTTAGAGTTAGAACTAGGGTTGCCATGCATAAGAAAAATTAAATTGAAAGAAATTTTTAAAATAAATTTAGTATTAATTACGTAGAAAGCAGAAGCGGTGAAGTTATGAAATGTCGGATCACTCAAGAATCGTCGAGAGTTATATATTTTTTTCTACGTTGAGTATTCGCTCCAATTTTATGATATCGCCTCTCAAACTGAACAGACTATAGCAGTTTTAGGTGCTTGGTAGTAGAGACATTGAGAGAAAGTACAACCAACCAGCTTATTCTGCTATGCCTCTCACGCCGTCGTTAAAATGCGAAGAAAGCTCTAGGAGCTTTTTAAAGTAAAGCTTTTTAAAGTAAATATATCATTTTGAGATCCTGTTATAAGTTTAAGCCCTAATTTCACCCGACTTTTGCATTGTTAAGCGATTGCCCTGCTCTAACTAGAACTAAGCTTTGGTCGCTTTTGTAGTTAACCTTTACCGTCAAGCAGAAGGCAAGGTAAGCGACCTTACAAAATTCATTAAGGCCAGATTCCAAAAGAACGGTTTTTTTTAACAAATTTTAATTAACTGAAAAAACAAAACAAATGAATTGAAAGTTTACGTAGATAAGTGGACGTATAAAAATATAGATTCATTTTTTTTTTTTTTTTTTTTTTTTTTTTTTTTATTTTATAAACGGCGTCTTTTAACGATAACTATAAAAGGTTTATGTTAAGTAGAGTAAATAAAATAAAAACAACAATGAAAGATTTTCACTAAAAAAAACGGACTTTTTTACTCTTTTTCAACCTTTTTTCAATTTTAATTGTGAATAACTTTTTAAAATACCAATGAATATTTTTGGTTGTAGTTGAGACCGTAGGGAGACACTTTAGGAGTAAAATCCCTTTTAGCTCGTGTTGATAAGTTCAATGGGCTCTAAAAGAGAGTGGCACCTAGTTGAAAAAAACGTGGTATTTTTCAGCAATTAACAGAAAAAAACTGGCCTTAAAGAGTCCGAGTATATGGAAAAAACGAACTTTGGAAGTTCAGAAGAATTTATTATACGCTTAAGGGGCACACCTAGTGTGAAATATATAAATCTATTTGGTAGATTTTGGTAGATTAAACCTTTAAAAATAACATATTCAAATTTCAAATCGATATCTCAAATAGTTTTTGAGTTATAGCAATTTAAAGAGCAACCGCTCGACAGCTAGAGAGTCTCATTAGCTACGAGTGAAAACGATTATTTTTATCTTTGAAGAGTTTTTCTCGAAACATCATTTTCCGAATTTGCTGAAGTGATTACTCAAAAACAAATCTATCGAATTTTTTTTTTACATATTCTATATATAGTTCCCCGTACAATGACCTATCGATTTTTGATCTGATCAAAAAATCGAATTTTGGCAGGCCAAAAACGACCAAAATTTTGGGTAAAATTCTACTATTTTTTTTAAACGCCGCCATATTGTAAATTTTTACTTTTTTTATCGTAGGTCTTCGTACAGACAATATTATCTAGTAGAGAATTTTTTTTTTAGATTTCATCTACGGAGAAGGGCGGAATCACTGCGGCAGTGAAGGGCCTTTTTATTCGCGCCGTTGGAGATCGACTATAACTTAAAAAATATTTAATTTTTTTCTTCAAAAATTTCACTGTATATTCTTGAAACATGTATAAATGCATTCTTAAAATTTTGAAAAAAATAAGTATTTTTTTAATAAAAATTCCCAAAAATCACCTTTTTTAAGGCCCTTAAGTTTGTCAACATTCCCAATTGATCTATCAGCTCTGACTAACCTACTTTATGATCTTAGCATGTTTCAGACGATTTGGAGTGACCTAGAGTGTATTTTAAGAAAGTCTCTGAATTGTCGGAGATACAAACAGGAGCTTAAAATTGTTTGTCGAGGGGTAACCGAAAGCAGGCAAAAAAAGATTTCTATAATTTTGGATGTTTGTGATATTTCTTTAATTGAATTAATTAATTTAATTTGTTCATACATATACATACCCGCTAAAATAACGGTTTGTACTTAATTTGTCATTTCAATCAAAATAAATTTAGGCAAAAAGTTAACAAACCCTCCCTAAATCGGTAGTTATAAAATTCAGAATTAAATATATTTACACACATAAATATGTAATATAAGCATGTTTAACTTAGTACAAATATATTTATCCTTTACCTCCAACCACTTGTTTGCAGCTAATTTATGGACGACCAAACCTCTAATCGAACAAACACAACTAATCAATTAGCTTACAAAGTGGATTCGGCTGACAACTGACGTTCACTCCAAATACAAAAAAAAGACACTATAAAGTTTACATAACAGAGGACACAGGACACAAGTATATACATATATACTGTACTTATATACAAATACATAGATATATACAAAAGCACAGTCGAACTATTAAAGCGTTTCGAATAGCCTCAAGCAAGTTTGGCGATACTTCAAAGCTGTGGTTCGATTGGTGGTAGTAAAATACGAATTTGTTTTTGTAGTAAAAATGCGAAAATATAAACGCATATGTATGTACATAGTAACATGTAACATAGCTGGACGTTTCCTTATTTACGTAAAGCCCTTTTGGGGATGTTGGCCTACGCAATTAACGAATTGACCGTAAGACACACCAACAAAAGGCCAATTCATTAGGCAAATAGTGTAGAGTAAAACTTTTATTCCCTTTAACACACACGACACACAGAGAATACACGTGCGAGTAGTTGAAGTCAAAGGTAGTATAGAGAAGCAAACAAGTTGAAATGAGGCTTTGCTACCTACATATATGTATATATGTATATATAAACAGCAGCATGGATGAGTAAAGGACTAAATGAGGGCAATGTTCTTCAATAGCCACGCACACCGCCAACAGTATGTTCATTTGCGTATATGTAGATGGGTGTAAATGTAAACGAAACTTGAATGGAGCAACAGGCAAAATGAAAAGTGAGTTTATCGCCTTGAGACCTTTTTGAGTGGCAGGAAACAAGCTTTGTAGGGCTACAAAAGCAGTCTAGTGATTTTGTACTCAATAAAGCTTAGCTATTTCAGGTAGAGATTGTATACTTTATCACTATAAACAGTTTTCAGGTGGAGGCGCTTCAAAAATCGATTTTTGAAGAAGGAGCGCTAAAAACTAAGACACCAGTTTTCCATAAACAAGCAAGCAATAATCGAAAGTCCACTTACTCAAGCTCACAGTTTTTGCTTGGAACCTCGCACAGAGGGACTTCACATTACTGCTCACAAATGGTCGATACTCATTAAATCTTGAATCTTGAACCTTTTGCGTTACTTTCATAGTCTCGTCGACCCTAAGTGCTCTTCTTCCCGAATTAACTTAATGGACAATTATGAGATAGTAGTATCTATAAAAGAGTCGGCTGTACAACAAAGACAGA